GGCCACGGCGCCATGCACCGCGCCCCGTACGTCGTCAAGGCCAAGGGCGCCGTCGTACGCGACGGCGTCGCGCTCGACAGCGACAAGGTCACGAGGCTCGCCGCCGGCACGGAGGTCGTCGTGACCTACGCCAAGCAGCTCCCCGACAAGAAGACGAGGTACCTCATCGTCAAGCCCGTCGTCGGCTGGGTGTCGCGCGGGGCGGTGGCCGAGGCGCGACCGGCGCGAGACGACGACGACCGCTGATCGCGGCCATGTGTATCGTAAGTGTATGTGTCCTACGACGTGGCTGCGACGGCGCCTCTGGGGCGACGGCCGGGGAAAGATTGTTGCGTGTTCAAGCTGCCTTCAAGCTTCTTTCAAGCTTCTTCAACTGCCGGTGGAGCGGGAACCGGCACCGCGCCGGTCCGTGTTGGTTGGCATGAGCATCGGTGCACATAACCCGTTCGAGGACACTCTGGAGGGTGAGCCGCCTGCCGAGGAAGCGGTGGAGCCAGCAGCGTCAGCAGAACTGCCCGCAGCGGCACCTGCCGCGCCGGCGCAGCCAGCGCCGCCGCCGTCGCCCGCGGAGCCGGCACCGCCAGCGCCGCCGCCGACGGCGCCAGCGCCGCCGCCGCCCGCGGAGCCGGCACCGCCAGCGCCGCCGCCGACGGCGCAAACGCCGCCACTGCCCGCGAAGCCGGCGGCGCCGGCGCAGCCAGCGCCGCCAGCGCCGGCGACGGACCCGGACGCGCCCGCGCGGACCGTCGTGCTCTTCGAGAACGAGCGATTCAACGCGCTGACGCGGCGGTGGTCGTCCGCGAGCCTTTTGCCGACGGACCGCCGCGCGTTTTCGACGGCGACGGGCGCCAAGTCCTGGCGCGACCGGGCCGAGGCCGGGGCCTGGCTCCTCGGCCGCGACTGGGCCTGGACGGGCGACTGGGCTCCGGGCGGCTGGGAGCACGCGCGCGACTTCTCCCGCGCCGCCTTCGACGACGCGCGGGCCGCTGCGGCGACGTTCGACTTCGTGCGGCGGCGGCGCCTCGAGCGGCCCGCGGCCTACGCCAACGACGTGTCCGCCCACGCGTGCGTCAACGTCGACGTCGAGGCGGCGGCGCGCGTGCGCGCGCGGCTCGGCGACGCGGTCGCGCGCGCGTGCATCGTCGCGGGCGGCGACGACGCCGACGCCGACGTCGCGGGCCGGCGCTGCCGCGGCTTCGCCGAGGAGCTGCGCGACGCGCTGCTGTCGCCGAAGGCGGGCCGCGCGTTCGGCGCGCGCGGCGCCGCGCTCGTCGCGGACGTCGACGCCTTCCTGGAGGCGGCGCGGCGGAAGCGGTCGGGCCTCGGCGCGATCTTCGCCCGGGCGCCCGACGCGTCGCCGGCGGCGGTGCAGGCCCGCGTCTCCGCGCTCCAGACGTCGGGCGCGCTCCCCGCGGAGCTTACGGCGCTCGCGCGCGCGTGCGTGCGCGCCTACGACGTCGACGGCGCGGGCGCCTGCGACGGGAGCCACGCGCCGCGCGCCTGCCCTTTCGCGGCGGCGCGGTGCGCCAACGACGGCTGCGCGGCGATCTGCAGCCGCCGCGCGCTCCCGGCGCACGACGCGGCCTGCGACTTCAAGCGCGAGCGTTGCGCCTGCGGCGTCATGGTCCAGCGCTTCCGCCGCGACGACCACCTCGCCAGGGACTGCGCGAAGCGCCTCGTCGACTGCCCCTTCGGGTGCGCGCACCGGCTCCCCTTCGAGGACCTCGGCGCGCACCTCGACGAAGCCGCGCCGGCGCACGCGCTCCTCCTCCTGAAGCAGCTGGACGCGTCGAAGCGCCGCGAGGCCGCGACGCTCGCGCGCCTCGACGAGATGGGGACGGCGCTCGCCGAGGAGCGCGCCGCGCGCGCAAGGACGGACGCGGCGCTCGCGGGCCTGACGGCGTCGCTCGAGGCGACGCGGCGGCTGCTGCGGAACACGACGGCCCAGGCGACGGAGGACCTCAGGAGCGAGACGAAGAAGACCGCCGCCGCGGCCGCGGCCGCGCAGCGGTCCGCGGACGACGCGCGGCAGAAGATCGCCGCGCTCTCCGGGGACGTCGCGCGCCTCGACGCCGCCGTCCAGCGGGGGGGCAGACCTGTCGCCGGGCGGCGATAACCGAATTTTACCCGGCGGCGTCCGGCGGCGTCCAGCGATAAACAAATTGTGCCCGTCGCGCGCCTCGACGCCGCGAGCGGGGGGGGGCAGGCGATAACCGAATTTTACCCGTCGGCGTCCGGCGGCGTCCATGACGTCTCGCCCGTGTCCGCGTTGAAGTAGTAGGCGTTGCCGTCGTCGTCGTGCGCGAGCTCCCAGCCCGGGGGCAGCGGCGGGTCGCCGCGGCTGCCGCGGCCGCCGCGGCTCGGGCGCCGCGAGCCCGGGGCCTCGGCGACGGCGCGCGCGGCGTCGCCGCCGGCGCCGCCGGGCGCGGGCGCGGGCGCGGGCGCGGCGCCCGGCGCGTCCGCGTCGCCGGCGGCGGCGTCCGCGGGCGCCTCGTCGGGGCCGGCGTCGACGGCGCGGCTCGCCTCCTCGGCCTTGCGCGCCTTCTCCTCCTCGACGCGCTTCTTCTCCTCGGCCGCGGCCTCCTCCTTGACCCGCTTCTTCTCGGCCTTGCGCGCGGCCTTGCGCTCCGCGCGGCGCTTCTCCTTCTTCTCGGGCTCCTCGTCGGAGTCGCCGTCGCTCGACTCGTCGTCGCTCGAGCTCGACTCCTTCTCCTCCTCGCGGATCCAGTGCATGCGGCCCGCGCGCATGGCCGCGACCTCGACGAGCCGCGCCTGGTCGCCCCACTGGTCCTTCGTGAGCACGACGTCGTCGGCGAGCGCGCTCGCCGCCGTCGCCGCCGTCGACGCGGACTGGGCGCTCGCGTCGTCCGCGGGCTTCGTCGGCGGCGGCGGGAAGGCCGCGGAGGCGCGCGCGTCCGCGGGGCGGCTCGGCAGGTCCTCGCCCGTGAGGTTCGCGTAGTGGGCCCGGCCGTGGACCGCGCGGTACTTGGCCGGGTTCGCCCGCTGGTCGCGCATCATGGCCAGGAACCGCCGCCAGAAGTCCGCGTACGCGCTCAGCCGCTCCGGCGCGGCGACGGACGCGGACCGCGACCGGCGCTTCTCCGGCGCCGCGGGCGCCGCGTCCGCGCGGCCGCGCTTCGGCGACTTCGCCTCGGCGCGGACGCGCCGCGTCTCGAAGGCCGCGGCGTCGCGCTTGTCCGCGTCGCGGTCTAAGACGGTCCGCACGTCGACGGGGGGCCTCGGCGGCGGCGGCGCGACGAAGAGCTTGCCGGGCAGCACCTGCGACATGAGGAGCGTCTTCGCGACGGGCGTGAGCGCGGCCGACGGCGCGAGCCGCTCCTGCTCGAAGGCGAGCACGGCGTCGCCCTCGAGCCACTTGGACGCGACGGCGAGCGAGTCGCGGACGCCCTCGCAGTACGCGCGGACGCGCGCGCCGTCGTCGTAGTCCTGCGCGGCCTCGTCGGCGGACCGCGGCGGCCGGAAGACGTGGATGGGCGGCAGGGGCGGCAGGTCCAGCCGGTCGCCCTCCGCCGGTGCCCTCTTCGCCTCCGGCGGCGCGCCGGCGGCGTCCGCCTTCTTCGCCGCGACGGTCCCGACCTCCTCGACGGGCGGCACGTACACAAAGGACTTGTCCTCGCGCGCGCGCGCGTCCACGGACCGGTGCCGCCGCGACGCGAGGCGCACGTACTGGGCTTGGCGCATGACGCGCGCGCGCGCGTAGAGGCGCTCCGGCGCCGCGAGCGACGCGCGGCGCAGCAGGTGCGTCGCGGCCTCGGGGTCGACGTCGCGGAGCGCGCGGTGCCGCGCCTGGAGCACGAGCAGGCACACGTCGACGTCGGGCACGAGGCCGAGCTCCGTGCGGTGGTCGCCGCCGGCGGGGAGGCCCCACTTGTCCGCGTATAACGCGAGCCGCGCGGCGTCGAGCCTCTCGGACCGCCGGTGGCGCCGGTGCCACTGGCGGAGCGCGCGCGTGGACCGGAGCCGCACGTCGCAGGACGCCATGTTCGGGTCCGGCGCGCCGGACATGGCGCCGATCTGGCGCAGCGCCGCCGTCTGGCCCTCGAGGGCCTGGAGCGCGACCTGGAGCTTGAGGTAGCGCCGCGCGGCGAACGACTCCGCGTCCGCCGCGGCCATCCGCGGCGCCTCGAGGGCCTCGGACTTGCGCCGCGCGTAGGCGCGCGCGTTGCCCCAGACGGCGCCGGCGAGGCCCGGCCCCGCCCACGTCTCCGCGGCCGCGAAGCGCCGGCAGAACGCGAGCGCGGCCTCGAGCGCGGCGACCTGGGCGGGAAACGGGTGATGCGACGTCGCTTCGACGTGAGCGTGCCGCGCGCGCGCGTTCCAAAGAACCCATCCACGCTTCGAGAGCGCTCCGAGAGATGATCGCTCGTCCAAAGGTCAGCCGAAACGAGTGAAAACCGGCCGAGAGAGGAGCCTTTGAAGTTGGGCGCGTCGCGCGCGTTTCCCGCCCCGGCGGCGACGCGCTGCCGCGCGACGACGAAGCGCGCGAAGCGGTGGAGCGCGCCCGCGGCGCCGGGCACGCGGGGGTCCTCGAGGAACTCGGAGAGGCAGGGCATGCGGCAGCAGTCGTCGCGGAAGCCGCACTCGCAGAGCGTCTGGTACGCGCCGGAGCACGGCGCGTCCGAGTCGAGCGGCCCCCGCGCGGGCATGGCGATGGCGACGGCCTCGTCGACGGGCACGACGTCGTGGCCGCCGTGGCAGAAGCGCGCGCACCAGGTGCACACACTCAGCACGTCGCAGGTGCGGCAGTAGAGCGGCGCCGCGGCGGCCGCGGCGGCTCTGGGCGACCCGAACGCGGGGAACCGCGGCGACCGCGGCGCGGACCGCACGCAGCCGTAGCCGTATGTCGCGACCGTCGCCGCCCGGCGCCGCGCCGGGCCCACGTGGGCGTTGGGCGCGCCCACGGGCCGCCGCTCGACCGCGCGCGCGCCGACCGCGCGGTGCCGGAGCGCGACGCCGAGCGTGTGCTGGTCGCCGCCCGCGACCTTGACGAACTGGTGGGGCGAGTCGACCTTCTTCGGCGCCACCCTTAGCCGCGCGTCGCCGTGGCCGAGCTCGCCCTGCCAGCCCTTGCCCCAGGCGTACAAATCGCCGTGGACCGTGAGCGCGAGGCTGTGCGCCTTGCCGCACGCGATCTGCGCGACGACCTCGAACTTGGGCATCTTGACCTTGCGGGGCACGGGCGAGTCCACGACGGCGTCCGTGCCGAGCTGGCCGTTGGCGCCGTAGCCCCAGGAGTAAATCGCGCGGCGCACGCCCCAGGGGTTCACGAGACCCGGCGGGACGGCCTCCTCCGCGAGGACGAGCGAGTGCGCGCCGCCGAGCGCCGCGCCGACGACGCGGCAGCCCCGGAACGACGGCGGCCACTCCGTGACGAGGTGGGGCCTGCGCTTGTTGAGCGTGCGCCGCAGGCCGAGGCGCCCGTGCGCGCCGCGGCCCCACGTGTAGACGCCCGGCCGCTCGCGCGCGTCCTCCGTCGCGTCGGCGACGGCGAGCGAGTGCGCGTCGCCCGCGGCGACGAGGCGCACGCGGAGCCGCGCGACCTGGAAGAACGCGACGGCCGTCGGCTCGAAGCGGTGCGCGTAGTCGTCGTGGCCCAGGCGGCCGTCGCGGCCCGCGCCCCACGCGTAGAGCGCGGACCGCGCGTGGCCCTGCGTCGCGCAGAGCGCGAGCACGTGGGCCTTGCCCGCGGCGATGGACGTCACGCAGCGCCGCGCGAGGGCCGGCACGAGCGTCGGCGCCGCGCGCATCGTCACGCGGTCGCCGAGGCCGAGCTCGCCGCGGTCGCCGCGGCCCCAGCTCAGCACGCGGCCGCGCGAGTCGCGCCGGAGCGCCGCGCACTCCTCGACGAGGCAGGCCCGGAGCCGCGCGACGGCGTCCGCGAAGCCCACGCGGGGCCGCCGCTCGTAGGCGACGACGGTTTGCACCATGCGCTCGAGGCCCACGCGCGCGCGCGCGGCCTCGGCGTAGGCGACCTCGCGCGCGAAGGAGCAGCGGTCGCTCGCCGCGACCTCGACGACGTGGACGTCCGCGAGCCGGCCGTCGCCGCCGCCGCGGACGACGCCGCTCGGGAACGTCGCCACGGGGTAGCGCAGGTAGCGCCGCCCGCCGGACGCGAGCCAGCGCGCGAAGCTCGACGTCTCCGCGTGCTTCTTCTTCTTCTTCTTCCGGTCGTCGCCCTGGCCGGGCGCGCGCACGCTCGTCAGCATCTTGCCCGCCTGGGCAGGACAAGAGAGATTCAACGTCGCTTCAACGTGAGTGTTCCGCGCGCGCGCGCCCCGGAAAAAGCATCCACGCTTCGAGACCGTTCCGAGAGATGATCGCTCGTCCAAAAATCAGCCAAAACGAGTGGAAAACGACCGAGCTAGGAGGCTTTGAAGTTTGGAATTTCGCTCTCTTGTCCCGCCCCGTTGCCCGCCTTCGCCGCGAGGCGGCCCTCCTTCTTCCGCCGCGCCTCGCGCGCCTTCTTCTTCTCGAGCTCGGCGTAGGGGTCCTTCTTGAAGACCGTGAACTCGACGTCGCTCTCGTCCGTCGTGTCGTCGGGGTGCGCCTTCTCCTTGGCGCGCTTGGGCTTGACGACGGGCAGCCGCTTCGACCCGAGCTGGCCGTCCGCGCCCTCGCCGCAGGCGAAGACGATGCCCTCCTGGTTCGCGAAGAGGCTGTGGCGCCGCGACCCGCAGACGTCGACGAACGGGCTCCGCCGCCGGCTGTACGCGACCTCGCGCGGCCGCCGGTACGAGCAGAGGTCGCCCGTGCCGGACCGGCCGCTGCCGCCGTTGCCCCAGGCGACCAGCATCCAATCCTCGATGCCGTCGCCGGCCTCGTAGGGCGCCCGCTTGCTGAAGGCCTTGTCGAAGTTCGCGGGGCGGCTCAGGTCCCGCGTCCGGCCCGGGACCAGGTCCAGCGGCCAGCCCTCGGTGTAGCGAGCGATCATCTCGCCCTTGGTCCGGTGCAGCGCCATGGTCTGGTGCTGCCTTTTGCGAGAGGCCTAGGGCTGCCTTTTTCGAAAGCTTTAGGGCGCGGGCGGGCGCGCTACCATCGCGTTTGTAAAGCGCTCCAAGGGCAGGCCAAGACCGCAGCCAGCCGCCGGGGGCCGAGCCAGCCAGCCAGCCAGGGACGTCCAGTCCACGAAACGACCCCTCGCTACAACCTCTACAACGCGCGCCTACGGCGCGCCGCGCCGTCCTGGGGCGGCTGCGGCGACCGGCTGGCCGCCGGCCACGCGCGTCGGCGCTCGCGCTTCCGTCACCCCCGGCGGGCCACTCCGGGCGCCTAACTAGATTTTGACATGATTCCCGCACGAAAATCGCAAGATTTGCACATGCAACGTCTACATTGAAGAAATGGGTGGCTGTCAGCGACCGAGCCAGCCAGCCAGCCAACATTTACCTTGCGGTCTGCCAAACCGGCTCCCGGTAAGGATTGTTATCGTGGACTGCCCTAGAGCGCTCGACGCTCGACGCTGCCCTGCACTGCGCCCTTGGCCTACGGCACCCCTGCTTCAGCATTGCCTTCGCTGTTGAAGCACTGCGCGACTGAGGTATGATGACTCTGCCCGACCCCCCGCCCGGCGAACTACCCCAGACGCCGCCGCTGCGTCCTCGTCGCCGCCGCCCGGAGCGATCGCCGCGCACGCGACGCGTTGCTTCGACGGCTCGCGACGCGGCTCTCGCGGAGCTCCGCGGCGCTTCGCGGCGCTTCGTCAGCGATGAGACGTCGCTGGAGCCGCGCGGCGGCGCCGCGACGGTTGCGTGCGGCCGGCGGCGCGCACGGCTCGCGGCGGCGGCGCGGGGGGCGCCGCCGGCTCCCGCCCCGCCCCGCCTCCCCGTCCCCCTCCGGCGGCGTCCGACGGAGTCGCGACCGCGATCCCCCGCTCGCAGAAGCATGGCCCGCCTCCTCCTCCTCTCCCTGGTCGTCGCCTTCGCGGGCGCCTTCGCGCCGTCCACGCTCGCGCCGCGCGCCGCCGCGCTCACCGTCGTCGACGGCCGCGGCGACAAGCGGACGAAGCGGGGTAAGGTCTACGCCGGCTCGAACGGCGTCTCGCGATCGAAGCCGAAGAAGTCGGACGACCCCGTGGACCCGTGCGCCGCGCGGCGCCGAGGGACCGCGCGGACGCGCGAGGCGGCGGGCGCGCGCCGCGGGACGCGCGCGGCTCCCCGCAGGTACTTCTCGATCCGCGAGTGGGGCAAGGCGCAGGACCCGCCCATGAGCGTCGAGGAGGTCGTCGCGTCCAAGGTGGCGGACCTGAACAAGGTCGCCATGACCCAGGAGGAGCTCATCGACGCCCTGACGCCCTTCTAGGCCGAAAGCCGAGACCCCCCCGGCGGCGAGCCCCGCCGCCTCCTGTCCTATAACCGAAAGCGCCCCGTCGCTTAGCTCCGTCGGCGCTGCGCCGAGCGCTGGCTGCGCTCGAACTTGTCCG